TCGCTATGACGGTGGTGGAAAAGGAGGTGAGAGTGAGTGGCAGTGATGTTGACAGTGATTGTGACACTGATGGTGACAGTGATGGTGATGGTAATATTCATGGTTGTGGTGGTGGCGTTGCTTCAGTAAGTGCAGGGAGAGAGCGGCAGCAAGGCGGGAACAAGAGAATGAGGAGGGGAGCGCGAACTGAGAGCGAGGAACAGCGCTGCACGGCCGTGGGGTGGGGCTGCACGGCGAATGGCAAGCAGGCCAACTGAGATTGCTCACGTGCCACGCGGACGCGACGGGGGGCCGGACTGCAAAGGCGGTGATTCGAAGCGCGCAGAGGGGGCGGAGAGGCACTAGGTGGGGACAGGTGGCAGGCAGCGGGGCGAGCAGAGGCGGTGACGGACGCGGAGGGTGGGGTGGAGGTGTGGGGGGTTGGGGAGGGGAGGGAGGGGAGGCGGGGGGTTGGTGGAGGAAGAGATGGAGAGGGGGGTGCGGGAGGGCATGGGGAGCGGGCGAGGTGCAAGGAGCGGAAGGTGCGTCGGTGGCGGGAGCTGTTTCGGCGGGGCCCGCGGCGGATGCATGGCGACGCAGAGGCAAATCGAACAGCGCGGTGGCAGCTGAGCCGCGCACAGTCGAACCCGGCTGCTGCGATTTGGCACGCGTGCGACAGTGACGCACGGCGATAGAGGGGGCCCATGGTGCTGACCACCCGAGGAATGTCGCCGGCAAGATTCTTGTATCAAAGCAATGCTCACCCCAAGTCATCCCAATTCAACGCACATGCCTAGTCAAACGAACATCCCAAGTCAACGCACATCCCAAGTCAACGCTCGCGTCAAGCCAACGCTCACCCAAAGTCAATGCTCACCTCAAGTCAACGCACACCTCAAGTCAAAGCTCACCTCCTCTGCGGACAGCGGCAACGGAATTTGACTGCAGCACGGCGATACGAGAGGGAGGGGACGCAGACACGAGGGATGGGTGAGTAACATTGTTTGACAAGGCAAAAATCCGATCCTTCACTAAGCAAATGACCGAGCTGAACCAGCTTCGAAGGACCGCGTATGCAGACTGACGGCCTCCTTTTCTATCAATAACATAAGATCGTAGATATTGAATTTTGTGAAGAGATTCTGCCAGATATTCGCCAAAACGGCTGGCTACTCAACGCTAAATTACTCAACGCTCACTTATCGAAACATTCACTACTCAACCGGCTTACTACTTAGAAAACCAATACGCTAACGGTTGACAGTTCAAACGGCGTACTACTCATGGATGACGACCATGGCGATGCCCCTTTCAAGCCGCGCTGAAATTCACCCCCGAGTCCGAGCGTATCTGTAAACCTGCTGATCGTTCCTCGTCTCGGCTCGGGTTCGTCCTGACTGAACGTTGCCTGCCTAGCGTTCTAAGCATAACCTAGGCATTGCCGATCAGCCTGGATCAGCTCTGCGGTTGCCCTTCCTGTACGAGTGTGGCCACGTGCTAACGTCTTCCGAGCAACGCGTCGAATTGCAGCTATTGCTGGAAGACAAATTCTGTGTCACCTAGTAGCTTAGGGCGGGTCCAGCGCGTACGTTTACAGGTCCCATACAGTTCATTCGTAGTGGTTTGAAACGATATCAGGTGGTGCACAACGGTTTTAAAACTGCACCGTTTTGAACCGTGACGCAATACAGATTATCGCGCTGGATGAACTGTAATGTACGGAAAACTACGCGCTGGACCCGCCCTTAGAAAATGGCCACCACGAAAAAAAGGAAGTTTCACGGTGAATGTTTTGGTTCTCATCAGCGAGTTCTTCCCCCCCACTTGCTTGGTCGAGTGCGCTCACAAGTGATGGTCGGTGGGCGGTGAGTGCTGGGTTGGTGGTGAGTGAGACTGCCAAACCAGCACTTGGTCGAGGATGTGGGCAAAGCGCGGAGCGAGACTGTCTGTGTGGGGGGTACAGTAATATTCGAATGGGATGGGTGGGATCGGTTGCGTTGGGATTCTGTGCAGTTCATCTCGTCCCGTACCAACCACTCCCAAACCAAACCATTCCCAACGAACCATGCCATCAGACACGTCCCCGAATCGAACCAATCTTCCCTTCAAACCTCTGGGCCACGCAGTCCGCGTCGCCGGGTCCCCTAACCCGTTCTGACGGATTTCTTACAGACGAATTTGCCGGGCCAGCATCATAGACATGCAAATTACACATGATGCTCAGCTGCTGCGCGCGAATTTGCCCTGCACGCGCCAGAAAGTCTGCACCCGTGTATTTTGCGCTAGCTAGCTGCACCCACGATACAAGCACCCCGAGCAAGTGGCATTGGCTATGAACCAATAGTAACCACAGAAACCAAAGAATATCTGAAGAGACTGAAGTCAAAAATTCAACGAAGAGTTACAATATTTTTATAAGCCCTTTTTTGCTAGGTGCGACGTTGACGAAATTTGCGAAAAAAACTCGAATCACTTAAATGCCTCCTTCACAAGGCAACCTTGGGTTAGTCAAACGAGCATCATGTGTAGTATGGTAGCCCTATCCAATGGTATGCAAAACCGTCTTACCTCAGTTTATATGTTATTAACATGGTGCCCAAATCGCGCGTTTGTTTTTAACTCAAAAAACTAAACCTTACCGCGCTTGCCTTCGCACTAAGACGTGATTTCTTCGGGCCAAGAAAAAAATAAACCCCGATCGGTACGGGATGCGTCAGGGAGGCATCAACCCTAAAAACAATGTCCTTTCCCGTGTTTAGGGTTGATCCCTCCCAGAAATGCGTCCAGGTCCCTAGAAGTTATATTATTTTTCAGCCCTGCCCTAACACGTCCCGGTAGCAATATATTGGGTGTAATATTTTTTTTACAAAATGGACCCCGTATAACTTCATTCCAATTGATTTTTCGTAAATATATTGTGCACATTTAGCGGAATACAGTCGCCCGGAGGAATATTTGTTAGGCGTCGAACGGGGCGTGGTAAGAAAAACAAAGATACGAAAGAGAAAACAAAACTGATTATATCTCATATTTCTTCCTTCTTTGTGCTGCGTCAGCTGTTACACAGTGTTTTGAGTGTCGCTACCAGACAAAATTGCGCAGCAGAACTAGGGTATCGACCGTTTTGCATATCATTGGATAGGGTTACCAAATTTGCATGTCTATGATGTTGGCCCCGAATTTGCCAGTTGCTAGGTTCGGTTTGGTTTAAAGTGGAAGGATTCAAGGGAAACTTTGCGCGACGCGCCAGCGCGCAAACTTTTAATCCCATTGACCTAACTCGCACCGCAGGTAGGGTGACCATACCCCTCGCAAATGAATCGACTTACGAACGCTTACGCGATATTGACAGCAAGTTCATTGTGTAAGAATTGGTGGTCTTCCAAATTGTCACTGTTTCGTGTGGGATAATGTTTGCCAGGTGGTTTTCGTCTTTTTGGTAAAAACAAGGTCGCAATTGCAGCTACATTGCCGTGACCTTCCAAGCTTCGGTTGTTTTGTCTGTTTCTGATGGCGCAAAAATGTTTCGTGCGCGTGACACGTTTTGTTGTCTACATGCTTTGTTTTTTTCGCCGCGTGTCAATCGCGATTTTCTTAAACATCTACGGAGCTCAGAAAATAGCAGGGGCTGAAAAAAAAATAAACCCCTAAAGGCAGGAACGCAATTCGGGAGGCATCAGCCCTAAACACGGGAAGCATAGTGTTTAGGGTTAATGCCTTGAATGTGGTGCAATCTGGGGGGGATCAACCCTAAACTCCCATAAATGTCAAGATGTTTAGGGTTGATGCATTAAAAGTGTGCCAGGCTCCCTACCGGGTTTAGTTCGTTTTACACCGTACAAAATACCCAGCCAAACAAATAGAACATAAGACAAGCCTTATCTCCAGGACCAGATTCAAATGATTAACTCGTCGCAAAATTTGTCTTTCATTAAAGGATTCGAAACCCCTAGCTGTAATCCCGCGATTCTGGCTGTAAAACAAAATTTGCACCTGTAACGCTGAGAACAACACGTCCGCAGCATGAAAATATCGTGGAAGCGTTTGTAGGTCAATATATTTGGACAATGTTTGGTCGCCCTACCTGCGGTTCGAGGCTGGTCAATGGGATTAAGAAAAGTTCGCGCGCCGGCGTTGAGTGGGCAGTACACGCGCAATTTTTGCCGGATTCAAGGGAAGTGAAAGATGCCTTGCTTCCAGCCACACAAACACACTCTGGTAGGTGCTGCTGACCAATCAACGTCAAATTGGCTCCCTTTCGTCGTGCGACACGGCCAGCCTCCGAACAATGGTCCAAACTTGGCGGGAATCGAATATTCCTCAGGTATCTTACAACAAAATTCATTGGGAGAATATGCCGTACACAACCATCATGGGACTCGAAAACAGTTTTGGTGAAAAAAAAACAGGGTACGGTCACTGCAAAGGGTGTTTTCACGCGACTGATAACGCGTTTCACGGAATCAGTCACAATCAGCTGGTTAAAAAAAAAAAAAAAAAAAAAAAAAAAAAAAAAAAAAACGCGAATGGTCACAGATGAAACTCCCGCCAAAACAAAATGAAACCTAAAAAGAATCTGGATGCATTTTCGGATGATGAGGCCTAAACACGTAACTCGCCAGGTGTTTAGGGTTGATCCGTCCCAAACCGCATCCGACGCCAATTGGGTTTTAGTTTTCTTACAAGTTCGCAGATTGGTTGGGCGCGAGCGGGAATCTTGTTGAGTTTCAAGTTTTTTTGGCGGGAGTTACATATGTGACCATTCGGGTGATTATTTACCTGTTGTTAGTGACTGAATCCATGACCCCGCTTACCAAGCCCGTCAGAAAACCCGATACAGTAGCCGTACGGGTTTTTTTTACCATTCACGTTATCGAGTCCCACGTTGGTTACTTGTGGCATATTTTCCCAAACTCATTAGACTATGTACAGGAGGTTTCCTACATTACTACACAAAATAATAAATAGGCACATCTAAGCATGCACAACAATCATGTCACTCACGCCTGGAATGACTATTATCATATCCAAGTAATGAGCCCAATTATCGGAGCGAATGGGTAAAGGAACACATCCGGGGAATATTGAGCCACAAGTGATGGATCATTCACAATTCCTGGCTTGGCCCAGGCAATGCGTGATCCCACCGAGCCAGGTCCTGAGTTATTGAACTCAACAAACGTTGTCGTGTCATAAACGGTGCCTCCCCAGTCCATCCAGCCATTGGAATTGATCTGCAGGGCAACAGACATGTCATGCAAACGCAAGATCCAAACCACACGCAGTGCGGGTGGGGCATGCTGGCAGTGCGGGGCATGCTGGCAGGGCAGCAGGGCAGCACACTCACAGAGGAGCCAATGACGGTGTTGCTGTACAGCACGCGAGCGAACGGCCTCCACGGCCGCCCCAGGAACTGCGCCTGCGCCACATCGCCCTCCATGCGTGAGTTCACAATCACGATGCCCGTGGGCTCCGTGGAGTTGGCGCGCCCCGACGCGGTTACCACGGCGTTGGGCTGTGGGCGGATCTGCAGGGTGCAGTTGTCGAGCACGGTGGCGCCGTTGCCGAATATGAAGTCCACCGACCCGTTCACCACACAGTTGCGGTAGTACTGCCGCCCGCTGTGCGCGTACAGCGTGTCCTGGGGAGCAGAGAGGGGATGAGGGGGACCGGGGCCGAGGGGATGCGGGAATTCAAGTTAAAAGAGAAAATACAATTGGCGCAGGGCGGCAGATTTGACCAGCTGCGGGCAGGCGGCATTGATGAGGGAGAGGAAAGGGAAGGCGGACGCAGTGAGTGGGGTGGATGCTGACACACACACACACACACACACACACACACACACACACACACACACACACACACACACACACACACACCTGCCAGGCGATGAAGTGGCAGTCGAAGAAGGCGCAGTTGTCCGCCGTGACCCTCAGCGCCACCGCCTGGTGGTTCTCCGGCCCTGCCGTGTTCTCAAACCGAACCCCCACCGCCAGGAACCCCGCCCCCGTGATGGCTGCCACGCAAGGGAAAGGGAGAAGGCGCGGGGGAGAGGGAGCGCGATGAGGGGTGGATAGCAGGGAGGTGGGCAGGGCAAAGGGGGCAAGTCGCTGGAAAGAAAGGAACGGTGTGAGGTGGGCACTCGCACGTCATGGCAATGCCCACACCCCATGCCCCACGCATGGCCCCTGCACACCCATTGCACTCCCTCCCCCCGCCTCTCCCCCCCTCTTTTTCCCCCTTCCCCAACAGGTAGGTGAGTGAGAGACTGACCGACAGTGGCGCTGTTGAAGGTGGTGGAGCCGCCCACCACGCTGGCACTGCCCGTGATCACCGTCACCTCGGGCGCCGCCCCCACCAGCGTGACGTTCCTGCGCGTGACGCGCACCGTCTCGCGATACACGCCCGGCGCCAGAAACACTATGAAGCGCCCCCTGGGCGTGGATGGCGCTGCGTCCACTGCCGCCTGGTGTGCCGTGGTGGTGGGCGGGACATGCAGGGAGCAGGGAGCAGGGAGCAGAGAGCAGGGAGCAGGGAGCAGGGAGCAGGGAGCAGGGGGGCGATGCGATGAGGTGAGAAGGGCATGGTCCCTGGCACTGTGCCGGTGCCACGCACACTATCAACGGACCCCTGGGGTGGACGGCGCTGCGTTCACTGCTGCCCGTGAAGTGTGGTGTGGTGGTGTTGGTGGGTGGGGCATGGAGGACGGAGGGGATGGGGACGAGATGAGGTGAGAAAGAGGTGAGAGAGAATTGGGAAAGGCCATTTCAGAACATGCAGTAGCGCTCCTTTGAAGGGGTTGGCAGGTGGGCTACTTGATCTGCTGCGCTGTGCTTCTGCATGCTCTGCAAAAGGTGCTTTACTGCACATCTGTACTTTGCCGCTTCTATTCCTTCAAGGACCGTTCAAGAGTTGGGAAAGGAAGTAAACGAGGGAGATGATGCAGGAGACAGCATGAGCCATGGAATGAATCGATATGGGGTGATGGCAGGGCAAGTGGCACACAGGCACGACCCCAATCACGCGCCGCACCTGAATGGAGGTGAAGGTGCCCGAGCCATCCCGGGCCACGATGGCGTTGGGCGGCGGCAGCGCGTAGCGCAGCGCCACCGGGTACGCCAGTGACGGGGGCGAGGGGGGTGAGGGCGGCGGGGAGGGCGGAGAAGGGGGCGGGGAGGGCGGTGTGGGCGGAGGAGAGGGGGGTGGGGAAGGGGGAGGGGGAGGACGCGGAGGGGGGGACGGAGGAGAGGGTGGAGGGGATGGGGGAGGTGGGGGACGCGGAGGGGGGGATGGAGGAGAGGGTGGAGGGGATGGGGGAGAGGGAGGAGGGAACGGGGGGCGAGGAGGTTGGGGAGGGGGCCGTCGGGGAGGGGAAGGAGGAGGGGGGCGTGGAGGAGGGGATGGGGGACGGGGGGGGAGGGGAAGGGGGCCGAGGAGGAGGGGAAGGGGGGGGAGAGGGAGGAGAGGGGGGCGGGGAAGGAGGGGAGGGGGGGCGGGGGGGAGGGGAGGAAGGGGGGTTAGGAGGAGAAGGGGGCGTGGAAGGAGGGGAAAGGGGAGGGGAAGGAGGGGAGGGGGGAGGGGAAGGAGGGGAAGGTGGAGGGGAAGGAGGGGAAGGGGGAGGGGAAGGAGGGGAAGGGAGACGGGGGGGAGGGGAGGAAGGAGGGGAAGGAGAGGGGGGGGGAGGTGAAGGAGAGGGGGGAGAGGAAAGAGGGGAGGGGGGAAGGGAGGGAGGAGAGGCAGGAGGGGAAGGAGACGGGAGAGGGGGAGAGGGTGGGGGAGAACTGACGGGCGGAGGAGACTGAGGTGGGGGGTAGGGCGGAGGAGGAGGGGGCAATGTGGAGAGAGGAGGAGGGGGAGAGGTTAGAGGGGAGGTGGGAGGCAGGACGGGAGCACAGGCGCAGGTGCAGGTGCAGCACGCGGGGATGGATGGGGGAGGAGAGGGCAGCAGCGGGAGGGGGAGCAGCGACGGAGCAGCAGGTGTGGCAGGCCAGGGCGAGAAGGGAGGGGGCGAGGGCAAGGGCGCGGAGGGAGGCGGGGAAGAGAAGGGCGCTGGCGGAGAGGGAGGAGGGGAGGGAGGGGGAGATGGAGGAGGGGAAGGAGGAGGAAACGGGGGAGGAGGAGAGGAGGGTAGAGTTGCAGAGGGGGGCGAGGAGGAGAGGGGGTCAAGGGGGGAAGGCGACGAAGGCGAGGAGGGAGGCGATGGTGAAGGTGGGACGGGTGCCAAGGGAGTGGGGGATGGCGGAGGGCCAGGGCCAGGGGGAGCAGGGGCAGTGGCGTTGACGTCGGCAACAGAGGCGGAGGGGCCTGTGGCGTTGCTAGCAGGGCGCTTCCTTGACTTGATGGGTGAGCGCGATGCTGCTGTGGTGCTGGCCGTGGCAACTCGTGCAATCGTGAAGCCACCACCACTGGCAGCGTCACCATCAGCAGCACTGCCATCAGCACCAGTATCAGCCGCCCCACCAGTGTCCGCGCCATCACCACTGCCACTGCCGTCGCTCGCAGCACCATCAGCGGCACCACCGGCATTGCTTGGCGGGCTGGTATCACCACGGCTGCTGTCGCCAGGGGGGGTTCCGGCGGGGGCTGGGGAGAAGAGCGGCGAGGGGGGCAGGGGAGGCGAGGAGAGCGGGGGGGGCGAGGAGGCGGCAACGATGGTGGCCATGTCGGCCGCCTGCTGCTGTACTGCCATGAGCGCCTCCCTCAACTGCCCCGCCGCTTGCTGCTCCCGCGCACGGTGGGTGGGTGGGACAGAGAGGAGCAGAGGATGGGCAGGGATGGGAAGGGATGAAGAGGGATGGGGAGCAAAGGGAAGGGATGGGGAGGGATGGGGAGGAAAGGGAAGGGATGGGGAGGGATGGGGAGGGATGGGGAGGGATGGGGAGGGATGGGGAGGGATGGGGAGGGATGGTTGAGTGATGCAGAGTTGAAGTGCGCAAGCGGAAGAGGAGGGGACCTGACGCGGAGGAATAGCACGAGGAAGCGACAAGCTTAGAAGGCGAGGGGAGAGGGCAGTTCCAGTGAGCCATGATGACTGGGGTGGGTGGGTGGGCGCAAGAGGCATGAGCTGGATGGACCGCACTGCATCACATCTCTGCCACGCTGACCTCCCACCACCCCCAACTGCCGCCGCCCACCCATTGCCCTCCCGTCCCCCCATGTGCGTGCAATTAGAGCAAGAGCCCACGTGCACGGCAATTACAGCAAGAGCCCACCCATTGTCCTCCCGTCCCCCCACGTGCACGGCAATCCAAAGCCCCCCACATCCCCCACGGCAATCCAAAGCCCCCCACATCCCCCACATCCCCCACATCCCCCACATCCCCCACGTGTGTCCCCGCCCGCCCACCTGCACGGCCCTGGCGGGCTCGCTGGTGGCGCCATCAGCAGCGAAGCTGCGAAACGAGTCCAGGCAGTCGCCCGCCAACGTGGCAGCACTTGATAGGCTGACGCGCGCATCTGCCACGTCACCCTCCCCCGTGTTGATGATCACCGCTGCTTCCTCCATGCTGGCTTTGGCGAGTGCCAGCTGGCAGCACGGTATTGGAGGGCATGCAATGGTGGAGACATGGGAGGTTGAGATATGCCCAAAGCCCATCGATCTTGGGCATCCCGGATAAGATGTAGTGTCTGTAACGCAGCACTTTATAACGCAGCACCTGAGAGACGCAGTCGCGTGCCACTTGCGTCCACACGTCCTTGCCTTTCCGCCATCCCTCCCTCCCCTGCCGCCCCGCCCACGCCACCATCAGTCGCTCCGCGCGCCCCTGCGCCGTCACCGCCACCCCCTGCGCGCCCGTCAGTCGTCCCAACGCGTCCCGCGCCTTTGCGCGAAACTTTGCGCTCCCCCATGCTGAGCGCAGCCGCAGAGGCACCCCCCACGTCGCCCGGATGCGCCCGCCTTTCCCGCCGTTTCCGTCTTTTCCGCCCTTTCCGCCACCGCGTGGGCGCGGAAGCCAGCTTCCTCCGCCGAAGACGGGGAGCGCTCCGCTGATTTGCGCGCCCACCGCCTTTTCCAGCGCCGCCCTGCGCTGATCTGACGGGAGCGGCGCGTCGAATGCCTGGCCTTCGTCAGAAGCGTGCGCGACGACAGTGGCGACAGTTGCGACGAGAGCGACGACGATGGCGACGATCCGGAGCAGTCGTGGTCGTGCGATCGCCATGGGTGGCGCGAGAATGGAAGGCCTTTGGGGTCCATGGTGAGCCAGGAGCAAACGCACATTTAAACACGCGGTGATTATCAGTAGTGCGGCGCGAGGCGCACGGTAGGCGTACAGTCACTGCAAGGTGGTGCAGGCAGGGCTGCTCCCGCGAGCACTGGACCCGCAAGGGACGGTGCAGTCGATCTGGCTCCATCGGACCACAGCGACTGGAAACGTCAGCAGGCAGACACGCCGCGCAGCAACACGCACCCCACGGGAGCTGCATGCGGGAGCAGCGGGATGAGCAGCAGGGAGGAGCATGTGGGGGTGCCGTGGGGGAATGCGCGTGCACACCTGGTGCCGCATGCCGGAATGCCAGAATGGCGGAGGGGGAATGGGGGAATGGAGAAATGGCGCAGGGATACACGAGCGCTGGTCGGCTAAGGTGGCCCGGCTCACGCGGCGAACACGGCGCTCTAAGCTGGGGACGAGCGGCGAGGCGAAGAGGGTCGGTGGGAGAGGAGGAGCGCGAGGCATGGCGATGGCGCGAGGCAAGCAAGGCCAAAGTGTGTGAGTGCATGACGGCAGCAGAGAGGCGACCGTTCCAACCCACCAAGCAGGCTCTTTTCGTAAGTGGGATGTCTTCCCACCACGAGAGACGCAAAACGTCTATAATCCGTTAAACGCAAGACCGCTTCATTGACGTTACAGAATTTGTTCAAGACAGGAAATTTTCTTTGACTTACAAATGACAAACTTGCCTTCCTGGACAGCAGATACATTAATAGCTGGTCAGGAGAGTGATAGTACGATCTATGAGTATTCAGACTGGTGGGTGGGTAGCGGCTCAAAGCGGTGAAGTTAGAAATTTACTCCACAGTGCACAACATCATGCTTCTATCCAACAAAAATCGACTTCTTGTTGTGACCTGCCCTAACACTGGTAAGTATTGTTAGGCTGAGAAAAGAAAATAGGATCTTTTAGAGTTAAGACTCTGAAGTATTGCAACAAAAGACTTGAATTCCTGTTACCTGTACTTATCAAGTATGAACACCAGGCCATCTGAAATAAGACTCTTTTTCTCTGATTTGGCAAATAAACACTGATATTTCATATTTATTTTCCAGTGTAGTATGAAAATTTCAGATTTTTTAGGGCCTCAACTCTGAAAGTTCCATATTTTTTTTAAGGCTAACTCTGAAATTTCAGAGTCTTCCAGGAGTGTGCTCTGATCCCACGAGCGTTTTGGCGAGTACCTGCTCTAACCTGACAGATACAAATTTGTCGTGTCAGTCACGCTGAAATGTGGAAGAAAGAACGAGAATGAAATGACTATGAACGAAGTGAATACAAATAGGAAACCCTAACTGTGTTGTACACCCTATGAGATACCCCACTATAGCCTACACAAATAAGTAAGCTATATGTTCTGACACACCCCCATAGGCAAAGTGGGGGAGAACAAGGGGTCACAAAACCAGTCAAGCAAAGCAAGGCAAAGCTCAGGGTGGATCACAAAGTCACCACACATTCCGAGCACAAGTTCAAAGGCCAAAAGGCCAGTTCACATGCAAGAGCACATATATAGGTATACAAGAGGCTAAACAAGCAAGAGCAAGAGTATATATATGTGACAGTATAGGCAAGGTCAAGAAGTAAGCAATTGAGGTAAGACAGGTACAAGTCCCAACTGAGTGCAGAAGCGCTGATGATCAGAAGGCGCAAGTGCCTTGGTGAAGACATCAGCGGTGTTGGCCTCAGAGGCCACGTACGCAAGCCGCAACTGTCCACGCTGCTGCAAGCTCACGCGCAAGAAAGTAGCGGAGAGCAATGTGCTTTGTCTTGTGCTCCAGTCGTTGCTCTCGACACAAGGCCAGCATGGCCTTGTTGTCTACGTACAGGACTGGAGGAGAACGAGGCGGCTCTCCCAGGTCGGTAAGCAGGTAGGTGAGCCAGCGAAGCTCCTGTGCAGCCATAGCCCCGGCGTAGATCTCAGCCTCACAACTGGAGCCGAGAACAGAAGACGAGCGGGTAGCCCGCCACGAAACAGAGCCGGAACCAAGACTGAAGGTGTAACCCTGTGACGATCGCTGCGTAGCCTGGTCGTCAGCCCAAGAAGCGTCCGCGTGCCCAGTGAGGACCACTGGACTGCGCCCTCCAAGCACTAGCCCTATGCCCGACGTACTGCACAAGTAGCGCAACACCCTCTTCGCTGCAGCCATGTGCTCTGGTAGGTGTCTCCCAGGAGCAACATAGCGTGCAAGAATGCTAAGAGGGTATGCAAGGTCAGGTCGTGTGCAGGTCATCAGGTACATGAGGCAGCCGACAAGCTCTGGATACGGGCCACTCGACTCTACGGACTCATCCGAAGGCAGAGCTGAGAGCGAGTGGCGAGTAGGCAGAGGAGTGGCCTGAGGCGAGGAGTACGTGAAGCCGAAGCGCTGAAGGACCTGCTGCACCATGTGTGACTGAGTCAGGGTGATGGTGCGGCGTGCTCTGTCCCGAGTGATCTGCAAGCCAAGGTAGCTGCGCAGCTCACCCAGATCAGTGCACATGTGTCTCTTCTGCAGCTCGGACTTCACGTAGGCGAGTCCAGCAGTGTCAGCTGTGGCAAAGACCAAGTCGTCGACGTACACGAGGATGTAGAACGGCGGCAGACAGGTGTCGGTGCGCAGAAACAGCGACGGGTCGGCAGTAGAAGGAGCAAACCCAAGTGCCGCGAGCGTAGTCCTCAGTGTGTCGTGCCACTCACGTGGCGCGTGGCGGAGACCGTAGACTGGACGCCGGAGACTCCACTGGGTACCAGGAGGGAAAGACCCAGTGAAGCCAGGAGGGCGGCGCAGCCAGATCTCCTCGTGCAGGCTGCCCTGCAAGAAAGCAGTGCTAAAGTTGAGAGAGTGCAGCTCGTAGTCACGGTGAGCAGCGACGTGCAGTAGTACCCGAAGAGTGGTCATCTTCGGGGTCGGGGAGTAGTTCTGAAAGAAGTCAACTCCCTGCCGCTGACTGAAACCACGAGCCACGTAACGCGCCTTGAAGACAGGCGGAGAACTCGGCGGCCGCTTCACCCTGAAGATCCACATGCCACTAACGATGTTCGCCCCAGGAGGGGGAACAGCGTCAACGTAGGTGCCTGTGGACTTCCAGGAAGCCTTCTCTGCATCCATAGCTACCTGCCTCTGAGAGGAGTAGGGACCCTCTATCGCCTCCGCGTACAAGCGCGGAGTCGGGATGTCTAGTGCATCGGGGTCTCCCTCAGGGGCTAGCAGTACAGACGCGAGATGAGGTGAAGCGGCGGCCAGACACTGGAACTCCTCCTGCTTGTCCTCAAGGACGTCCGTGCCAAGGGCACACTCACCCCCGACGGACGGAGGACAGGCAGACTCAGACTCAGCGACAAGACTAGCAGCGTAGTCTAGACGATAGTGCGCAGCAAAGTCGACGAGCTCAGTGACAAGGGCAGACGCAGCAGAAGACTCGAAAGAAGGGTCAGTGACAGCAGTAGCAAGGAGACGCGTGACAGTAGGACTGGCAGCACGAAGAGAGTCCGACTTCGGGTCGGCAAGAGCAGGAAGAGAGGAAGCAGGAGGAGAAGGCAAAGGGGCACGCAGAGGAGCAGTGGACGGACGCAGTGACATCCGGTGCGTGCCAGGGACAGGAGGAGGACGCTGACGCGAACCGCGACCACTAGTGCGCGCAGTACGAACAGGCGACGCCGGACGAGACGCAGGCTCACGACGCTCAGTAAGACCTCCAGTCGGACCAGCGTAGGGAGAAGGAGCAGGCAAAGGGGAGGCAGGCTGTAGCTGTGACCGTGACGGGACAGACTGTGGACCCTCTAAGGGAGTAGGAGGAGGACCAGGAGAAGGTGTAAGACCAAGAACCTGCTGTAGGAGCGGAACGAAGTACGGGCGGGGCCGCGTGGCGACGCCAGAAACAGCAGGGACAGCACCAGTACCCCCAGCAGGAGTACCCGCTCCAACAGCACCTCCAGCAGCACCAGAACCTCCAGCAGCACCTCCAGTAGCTCCGGAACCCCCAGCAGCACCAGAAGCGCCGCGAGCCAGACCGCCAGCGGTCGTCTCAGCGCCAACACCCTCAGCAGCACCAGCTCCAGGAGAACCCGCAAGCCCAGTAGCTCCAGCACCCACAGCACAAGCACCTCCGGGACGCTCGGCAGCAGCACCCTCTGCAGCCGAAGAACCTCCAGCACCTGCAGCACGCCTCCAGCGCCGGGCAAACCACTCACGCAGCTCCTGCGGGGAGAGTGGCTCTCGGCGAGACGAAGCACCTCCAGGCGGAGAACCCCCAGGCGAAGAACCTCCAGGCTCAGCACCCTCAGGCAAAGCACCTCCAGGTGGAGCACCCCCAGTCTCAGCACCCCCAGGCTCAGCACCCCCAGGCCCAGCACCCCCAGGCTCAGCACCCCCAGACTCAGTACCCCCAGGCTCAGCACCCCCAGGCTCAGCACCCCCAGACTCCGCACCCCCAGGCTCAGCACCCCCAAGCGTAGCACCTCCAGTCCCAGCACCCCCAGGCTTAGCTCCCGCAGCAGCACCAGAGTCAACAGTGACCTCGACAGGCTCGACCGCGTCTACCTGGGACACACCTGAAGGGGCAGGACCCTGAGGGGGGAGGGGGTCTACCGGGGGGGGACCTGGTACCAAGAAGAGCGGGGGCGGGGGGAGGGACGGAGTGCGGTAGGGGAAGAGGCGGTAGTAGGGTACCGACTCGTCGAACGTGACGTCCTGGGAGGACAGAACACGTCGAGAGGTGGGGTGGTAGAACTGCCACCCAGGGGCGTCAGGGGGGAACCCCAGGAAGATGCAGGGAGCAGCGCGAGGGGACAGTTTGTCCGCAGACAAGTCGCGGACAAACGCCCGAGATCCCCAGACCCGGAACGCCGACGCATCGCCCACCTTCCCCGTCCACAGCAGGGCTGGGGAGGTCTCCGGCCTGGAGACCCTGGGGTGGAGGTTGATCTGATGCGCCGCGTACCTGACCGCAAATGGCCACAGAAAAT